CCTTAACATCTTCGTCCTTTAAGCGATATTTCACCGCTTTGCCACCACCCACTAGTCCAGGGGTAATCGTAAAACTAGTAGCAGTTCTAATACATCCAACTGGCATAGCAAAAGGCGTACCAAGTATATGCAACTATTTACATATATGTGAGTGCTTGTGTGTGTGTGTGTGTGTGTGTTTGTGTGAGAGTGAATATGAGCCAGCGGCGCATTGCAAGAAATGCCACTGAAGTGAAATGAAGTTTTGATTTAGTTCGAAATTTTTATCAACGAAAGAAATGCACGCGCACTGATTCTTCTTCCACATAAATCACACTGTACAGCGCGCGTTGCTCTTGATGTGGGGAGGATCTTACGTTTCATTTTGTTCCTTTCATTTCGTTTCGTTTGTAATGGAAGTTTGATTTATGCTGCAGCTGCCATGGCTGCCTTGGCGGCCATTGCTTGGTGTGAATCAAAAAGTGGTAATAGAAAACATTGCTTGCAATAAGCAATAACAAGAGCAACAACAACAACACGACTGAGTATCTACTAATGGCCTTCTGTTCAAAATCGAACGAACATTTTTGCCAAGTAAAGGAAGGTAAAAGAAGGAAAAAGACAATAACAGATATTTTTTGCAGACAATCGATGGCACAATATTTTTTTTTTTTAATATCCTGTTTTAAATTTTAAACTTATTTATGCTGACATGTATGTACTGTATGCATGTGTACATATTTTTTAATAAAACCACAACAAAATAAAGTAAACTATATTGCCAAAAATGAAGATTGATGGAGAAGTTTTTGTAGAACAAAGACGTTGCGGTGGGATGTTTTTTGGACGTAGGGGGCGCATTCAATAGAACGGAACACTCTCTAACAGACAATTACGTCCGCCGGAAAGGGCTCGAAGAAACCACATACCGCTGGATAGCAAACTTCCCTAAATTCTGAAACATAAAGGCCACTCTAGGACAGGAAATAGTCGGATTCTTAGCTGCGAAATGTTGCGCGCAGGGTATAGTGAACTCTCCTCTGCTATGATCCATCGCAGTAGACGAGCTACTCTGCCTTCTTAATGAAAATGGCTTCGACGTTCAAGGCTACGCGGGCGATATTGTCATTCTAATTAGAGGTAGGTTCGAGGACACTATATGCAACCCCCTACAGAATGTTCTGAGCGTAGCAAGAAGACTGGCGTAGTCATTTTCTCCAAGAAAAGGAAAAGGGACATAATACTAGAACAATTCCTTTAAAGAGATACATTTCTCCAAAGAGGTCCAATATGTAGTAGTTATCCTTGATGGCAAGCTCTTACCTAAGCAAAACCATTCAAATGGTCAAGGCCTCTATCTGGACCTGCCGGAAACTAATGGAAGCGGAACTGTGGCATCAGGTGGATGTATGATGCCATCTCTACACCCATTCCTACTTAAGCTGCACCCGTCTGGTGGACGAAGGAAGAAGTGAAATCCACGCAGGCCAAGCTCAGTAAGCTACAACGATTGGCCTGCGTTGGCATCACTGGTACGATGAGAATAACACCCACCGTGGCTCTCGAGGGCTCACCTCAGGGGACATTGTAGAAGAAAAGAAGCTTATACACCCTTCCACCCTCAGGGCCATAGAACAAGAATATGGCCTGCGCAATAGTTTTGTGGACCTGTGGCTTCCGAGATTTACCTTTACTTTAGGGTCTTTTTCCCCGACATCTGGTGTGGGATTGCCTTCATCTTTTAATACTTATCGCTTCCAGTAATCGGGTATACCTCATATGGGTACCGGGACACATACCATAGACCTCCGTTAGGCGAAAGCGCAATATTACTGGACAAATACGAAAGGGTAGCAGACAGGCTAAATTCTTCATTCTGGATATATCAACAAGGAGACCCGAATAACTGCTACGCCTCAGAAGGCATGAAGTAAGTACTGCTAAAGGTTTTCTTACTGGGTAATGAAACACTTTTCAAACTTACTCTGATCAGTGTAGTTTGCCAGCAAAAAATATTCAAAGTCAACGCGAATTCTTAGCCACTTGAAACTTGCACTTTATTTAATGCGCTGTAAAACTACATAACTAACATTTTTTCTAAAAATTAAAACTTTTCAACTTTTTTTAATTAAAACTAAAAAAGTCAAGTTTTTGTATGAAATTAAAATTTGTTTTTTTTTGCATTTTTTTCGTTTTTTGGGGAACCATATAATTTTGTTCAACACTTTTTGCATTATGCAACATTCAGTAGCAGGAATAGGAGAATCGATGTTCTTCAAAATTTTTAAAACCTCTACACTTTGCACTAAAAAATTGTATATGAAAATATAAAAATTCAAAAATCTTGCTCGGAAAATCTATTCTAAATCTCAAAAATGAAATGACTGAAAAAAACATTATATCACGAAAGCATCTATAGGGAGGTTTTTGGGGTAGCTTGAAGTCAGATTTGGAATATTTCAAAAATATCAAAAAAAAAAAATAATTTAAGACATTAAAAAAGGCAAAATTGAGTTCCAAATTAAGACCTTCTACCCCATTCCAATGCCATTATTTGCATTACTGTCATCTTCCTTGCGCAAAGTGTGGCCTCTCCACTTCCATTTCTGTCTCCGAATCCAGATGTCAAGGGATTTCATGCTAGCTACTTGGAGTAAATTTAGTCTGCAGGTCAGAACGCATCACCCACTATCCTGGATATGGAGCAACCGTCTAAAGATTCCAGCCCCCCTATTGGTGGCTCTTAACGGTTTGAGAACTGCAGCCCTTAACTCGTATGGCCTCGTGTTAACCAGTGTTATCCCCTTTTGCCGAACCCGCCGTGGGTGTCAAGAGAAATTCGTCGCCTTCATCGCCGTTCGGACCCACAGTCGACCAACTACACACTGCTTCACCACTCGGGAAGGATGCAACGTCGTTCACCTTCGGAAGCATTGCAGAGACTGTGACCGCACTACGTCCGTAAGTGTTTCGAGAATACCGAGATTAGAGTTTTACATCCCAAGCCGCAATATCTTAGGTGGATATATGTATGTATCTCCAATCAAGACGAGGTAGAGCTTTTGCAGACTTGCCCTGTAGATGCGAAATACTTTATAACTTTTTCGAAAAGAGTTGCCACCTTTTAAAAAATTATATTCAAATTTATTAAAATGTTAAATAAATTATTATAATATGGGTGTCAATCGAAATGGTTTGAAAAACTTTATTTCTTAACTATGTTATGAAATTTGATGAAATGAAGAACCGACACCATGCGCGACCTCTCTTCACTCAGAAACGACTGGGCGGATTTATAAAATAAATATCTGGAATATTTATTCAGGTTTGGAATAAGGTTGCCACCTGTTTAAAAATTTAATCTTAATTAACTTTTGACCGGTCTCACTAGTAATTTCTATTGTGCAATATTTTTTCACTCAATAATTAATTTCATTAACGTTTTTCATTAGCAAATAATACCAAACGTTTAAAAAAAGGCGAAAATTATTTTATAGCTAAACTTCCTGACCGCTTGTTCATTTAAATCCCCGAGTCTGTGCATCTCTTCATATATACATACATACATACATACCTACACACGTACAGCTTTCATCTGGAGTATGCTTACGAATATTAGAAATCCTTTTTACACAGCCCAGACTGGGCTGCCCAGTCGACATTGTACTGGAATGTTTTTGATACACGAGTAACTATTTATAATCTGCAGCTGGTCGGGCCACTCAGAAAATGGCATAAATTCAAAGAGAGAATGCACCCACTAACCAAAGTGACATGCAGCAAAGCTTGGCAAACACTCTGCGCAAATAATGCCACAGACTAGCGCAAAAGGATTTTATATAAAATTGTGCAATTTAAAATGTCACAACGCGGATTCCGAACAACAAACAGCTCGACGCGGAGCGTAGCAGAGCCAAAACAAACGCCTGGCATGGTTACCGGACGCGCACGCGGACAAGATGAGGGCAACTTGAGTGGCATAAAGCGAAACAAAAAAAAATAAAATAAAAAAATAAATAAATAAAAAACTAAACTTTATTAGAGGGACAACACACCGACCACCAGCAGCTAAAGGACAATACATACACATGTACAAATGTACGTGCAAGTAGAGTAACAGTAACTACCTATCAGCATTTCGACGGACGGAAAACACTCGTCGTATAACACAAAGCAGAGCCATCGCGAAACATGAACAAAAAAAAAAATCAAAATGAAAATGAAAATCAAAACAAAAAAATGTGAATGAAAAGAAATACGCTACACAAACCACAGCAGTGTCAACAGATAGTTGTGCGACAAGGCAGCGCATGCATGCATGGGGTGCAGGACGAATTATGACTTGAAGCGCCAAGGCTGAATGCGCCTCAGCCTGTGCAAAGCTACCTACCACTTGCCACTGCTCCTCTTTTGCCAACACTCATGCGACTACGACTATTTTGTGGCTTGCGTGCCATTTTCCAGTGCCGCCACTACTAGTGTGCAGCCAACAAATGCAGGCTAAAACGAGCGGTCAGCTGGACATGACTCTGCTCATCCTTGCTTTAGTATAAATATTCCAACAATATAAAAGGCTGGCGACGCAGCTGTATGGCTGTACGCGTCGATGGCAGCATTGAAGTAGACGAACCAGGTGGAATAGCCGCAAAGATTTTGCTGCCCTAAAGTTGATGCCTTGCAGGCATTTCATGGTTTTTTTTTTTCTCCCTCAGCCCCACCTGGGTGCTGCTCGTATCTACCGCTTTCATGCTTGTCAACATTCCTACGGTTCGGTCCAGTTCGGTTTCTTGTTCAGAGTTGCATCGTTTGTCGCTTGCGTACACCGTTATGCGCACACACATAAATCACCGTTTGTATTTGTGTTTGTGTAGGGATTCAAGAGTGTGCGCTAGATCCACGCCTCTTTCACAGCTTCACCCTATAATAATTTTACACTGTAAGGTTTTCGCACGAAGTACAATTAAAAACTGAAGTTATTTTGTAACGGAAAATTGCCATTCGTTCTGGAAACGCACTTTATCAAAATATCAAAATTTGTCGACTTATGAAATCGAAGCTTTTGGAATCTTCAAAGTATATCGGGTTACCGAAAGTTCTAGAAATACATGAATTTATCGAGTTATCGCAACTAGTCGAGTTACCAGAGTTTATCGAGTTATAGAAATTTATCGATATATACGGAAATTTATTGAGCTATCGATACATATCGAGATATGTAAATTTTTTAACTATTGAAATTTATCCAGTTCTGGAAACGCACAGTTATCTAACATTATCGAAATTTGTAGAGTTGTCTAATTTTATCAAGTTATCGGAATTTTATTGTTTTTGAAATTCATTGAATATATCGAATTGTCGCATTTATCGACTACCTGAAATGGATCGATTTATCTAAATTCAGTAGGTTTTTAAAATTTGTCGAGTTATCGACAATCTTTGTCCGAATTTTCCCCATTCCATCATTTGTCTTTGACACGTAAAATGAGAGCCCCGCACATAAAATTGAACTTGTAGAGTTTCGCACATCACTTGGTAATGGAATATGCCAATTTTTCGTGGGATAGTAAACATTAAGATTGCTCTTTTATCAATGCAGAAAACTCATACTTTAGTGTTGCTAAAATTAAGTCTTATGATGTTCGTGAGCACAACAATTACCGTTTTCGTTCTCTCGTAAACAGTTTTCAATTACTCCTAGTACACTTCTATTCGTACCTCTTCATAGTCAGGCGGTGGAACGTCGACTCCGTCGTTATCGATTGGGGGCTCGGGTTCGTCTTCTCCACTACTTTCAGTGCTGCTGCAATTCATTAGGGTGGTGAAGTGTTCCCTCCATAATTTAAGTACGTTCTGGACATTGGTCACTAGGTCATCATGATTGTTCTTACTGGAGTTCGCGCTGGTCTCGAAACCTTCCGTAGGTCGCCTAACTCTCTAACAAAATATTCGGTAGTTTTTCCCGTTGGCCAGCATTTCAAACATTTCGCACTCACGTATGTATATCGGCCTCTCTCTTCTAATTGCAGCGAATACGTTTCGGTTCCTTATCTATCTCGTCTCTTACATCCACTCCCATTTTTCTCGCCGTGCATTTGATATTTCTTTCTTTTGTGGATTACTTGAAGGGCGGATTGTCAACTTCGCTGTTTGTTTATAATTCTTTTTATTTTTTATTTTTTCTTTTCATTTTGCATTTGTATTGTTACTTTTGTGTCCGTTGCACAGACGCTGTGGAACAAGTATACACTTAAATATTGTCCAGTGGTTGGCCCAACTTCTGCATTATATTCTATAAACTTTTGTATACTTTTTTCACAGTTTGCCACCATTTAAATAAAAACACACAACGAACACTTTGAGAAGAATAAGCAGAAGAAGTGGAATTTGTTGGCTAGTGTCCTGTTGGACATAATCGCGCCTGCATTATTGGTTGATGTTGATGTTGCCACCAGAACCACCAGCACCGCCAAACAGCACCAACAGCACCAACAGCACCAACAGCAGCAGCAGCAGCAGCATCATCAGCAATGTCCGCAGTATACAGCATGTTGTTGATGGAAATTTATTTTGTTTGTTATTTTTGAAGATTATGTGTGTTTTGTAACCTGACAGGGATCAGCATAAAATGTTGCAAGCTATGTTTTATACACACAAATATACATATGTATGTACATATATACAAAATTATTTTTTCTATTTTTTCTTTATTATTGCTATATTACTATTGCTGTTGTTGTTTTGTTTGTCAGCAGCAACAAAGCGTTGATGTGTCGCTGCTACAGTTACATATTTTCCGTTGAGTCGAGTCGAGTCGCGTTGGCGTTTTGTACGATATTTGATGGTGTTAGCGTTACGATTGCTCTACAGCATTGTTTTGTCGGCATCCTTGGTATCCAACCGATGCGTTGCAGTCATTTCAGGCGAGATATTTGTAAAAACAAAAAAGATAGCAAAGGCAAAAGTACATTTGTATATGCATAAATATGTAAAGAAGCATTAGTATTGCAGATAAGTCCTGATTAAATATTCTATGAAATCTGCTTTTGAGTTTTCACAGTTATATGAATGCAGTTATTTAATGGTGGTAAGTATGAAGGTACGTATGTAACACGGCTGCTAGCCGAGAGTGTTTAATTCCAAATTATAAGCCTTTGAAACCACAGACAAGCAGCCATATGGGTGTATACCATACTTAAATATTTTGCACTTCTATACTGGGAACTTTATGTAACTGATCAAATTGAAGGTAAGAATTCTTTTATCTTATATCCTGCCATTTTTGGAATCCGTTAACTGTCGCTCTACCCTTGATTATACCCTGTAAATACATACATACATACATCCCGTGTCATATTTATAATCACACCACATATTGACAAATTATAGCAAAAGTAGCTAATCTTCTTTTTTCAATAAGAGTTTTAAAAATTAAATAAAAATAAAAAAAGAATATTTGTACATTCATTTTTCTTTTCAAAAAAAAATAAAATTTAAAAACTAAAACAAAAACAAATTTAAAAAAATATACAAAAGAAAAATATATAAAAAAAAATCAAAAATTAAAAAAAAATTTTTTAACAATAAAATCTAAAAGGTAAGAGAAAATAAAATAGAAAACGTTATTTTTACAACAATAAAATTTAAAAACTAATAAATAATAAAAAAATAATAATTGTTAAAATAGCAGAAATAATAAAAAAAATCAATTATTAAAAGAAGTTAAAAGAGAATACGTTTTCTTTTTGAAACAATAATATCCAAAAACTAAAAAAAATACATAAAAAACAACATTCTCTTTAAAACCATAAAATCTGAGAATTAAAGGAAAATTAATTAAAAAAGGAAAACATTAAATAAAAAATAAATTCCTAAAAGTTACATACATATATGAAATAAAAAAAATATGTTGCTTATTAATACAAAATCTAAAGAAAATTTAATTAAATAATAAAAGGATTTTTCTTTTTAAAACAATAACAGCTAAAAAAGAAAGAAAGATAACCTAACGAGAAAATTCCAGTTAAAATAAAAGAAAAAATTAATACATTTCTAAAAAAATTACGAAAAAATATATATGTTTTACTTTTTTAAACGATAAAATCTAAAAATTAAAAGAAAATATTATTAAGAAAACAATCAAAAATTAAGGATATTCCTTCCTAAAAATTAAATGAAATTAAAAACAAATATTTGTTTCTGTTTAAAACTATAAAACAAAAAAAAAAATTCTAAAAATCAAATAAAATAAAAAAAATATATTATTTTTCTTTTTAGGACAATGAAATATAGATACCGTGCGACAAAAACAAAAAAAAAATTCAAAACACACGCAAGAATCGGTATACTCACGAAACTATGGGCCAAATATGTAGAGTAAAACTGCGTTGTTAGTGTTTCACTCTGACGTCAGTATTTTTTTTTTTTTAAGGACTTTAAAATTTTGAAGATATGGTTAATTCAAAAAATTATTTAAAAAAAATCGGTGCAATGTAGAATAACAATACGGGTACCAAATGAAAGAGAAAATGCTGTAGAATTTAAAAACAATAAAGTTGTTTGATTTACAAAGCTGAATAAGTATTGAAACTGCGCTTTCCATAAATTTTATTTTTTTAAGTTATTAAAGATTGCAGGACGTAATTCGACGATGTGTTGCTGTGTATATTAGTCCTAAAACAATAATTTTTTCAAAACTAAATATTGCAAATTTTCAAGGATATTTAGGGTCAAAATTTGTTAAGGACATTTTCCATACCCATTCTTTCTTATGTATAAAAAAATGCATTCTGTTGTAATTCTGCAGATTTTTTTCTCTTATATGATACCTTATTGTTATCCCACATTAAACTGAATTTTTTAAATACATTTTTGGAATAATCATATTTTGTAAATTTCAAAGTCCTTTAAACAAATCTTGACATCAGAGAGAAAAACTAATTATGTACGTAGTTTTACTATAATTTGCTCATAGTTTCGCAAAGATATTATTTTTTTTGTGTGCAAAATTTACTGTCGCACGGTGTAATAAATAAAAGAAAATTTTTTTAAAAACAAAATTAAAATAGAAAAAAGGAATAAAAACTCGGCTCCCCGAATTGAACTGTGTCTTGTGTCTTGGTCTAGCTCAGGACTAATTCAGTACCATTTCGGGACTAGTACAAGACTAGTTTAGGACCATTTCGGCGCTAGCTCAAGAAGTATAATTTTGGGACCGTTTCCGGACCATTCTGAGCCTCGTTCACGCCCATTGGAGGTCTATTTTGGTACTAATTCTACAATATTTCAAGACTAAATAGTTCAGGAACATTTCGCGACTAGTTCGGAAAAATTTTGGTGCCATTTCGGAACCGACCATTTATTGCTATTTCGGGACTAGTTCTGCGCCCCTTGAGATTAGTTCAGGATTATTTCGGAAAACTTCAGGCTCATTACGAGCTTAGTTTTAGACCATTTGGAAAATGGTTCGGGTCTATTTAAGGAGAGTTTCGGGATAGTTAAGGACTACTTCAGATCCATTTCGGGACTAGGTCAGGAACATTTCGGTTCCAGTTTGTGGTCATTTTTTGACTAGTTTAGTAATATTTCGGTGTTGGTTCGCGAACATTTGGGGACTTATAAGCGACCATTTCCGGGCCTCTTCGAGACTACTTCGAAATCATTTCGGCACAAGTTCATCAATTTTTGCAGAACCACTTCTGCACTACTTCAGCTCAATTTTGGGACTAGTTCGGGGTCATTTCAGGGTAGTTTGAAATTAGCTACATAATGATCCTGAAATAGTCCTGAACTATAAGCGAAGTAGTTATGAAAAAGTCCTGTACTGGTCTTGACAAAATGAAATGAAATTAATATTTAATTTCTTGCCTAACCTATTTATGTCTGTATGTAAGTGAATGGTTCGACAAGCCGTTTACATATCAAATGTCATGAGTACTCATGTCTTTTTAAGTACATATTGCACAAAATTTGAATCTAGGATTTATACAATTTTTGTTAAAGAATAAACTATATTTTTACTTATAAAAAATAACTAGAAATAAATTGTTAAAACTAGTTAATATATGGTGCGCTTATAATTATGACAAGGGGTGTATATGTGTGTATAAATGTAGGTATGTACGCTTATGTATATTTAAGATTTATACATTAACGCTTTGTCCCCACCCTCTTCAACAGTCTCATCTCGTTTGTTTTACGCTATCGCCCTTTGGGGCTTCTCACCTTCGCTTTCCTTTAATTTTATTTTATTTTAACCTTAAAACCATAAATGTCTGTAAAAGGTTTGATTTATTTCATAAACTTTTGTGCTTTGTTCCCGTTTTTGATATGCTTTTGTATATGTGTGTGTGTGTGTGTGTTGCCCGAATATCTATACTTTGTCACTGTATTTCACAGAACCATAAAATATTTCGACGAGTGAGAGATATGTTGGAAGAAAAAGTGTGTGGGTAAGGAAACGAACGAGCATTAGGCTAAGGAGATGTGTTCACCTTCCCATTTTATGCAACTTAGATATAAATAGTAATTAAGATTTTTGTTCATTCCATAAATTTCACAGGTTTGATACAAAAGAGGGCATCAGAGTTCAGTTTGACAGCACTGGTGCACTTTAGTCTTTTTCTGAAAAAGTTTTCTTTAAAAATCATATACTAGGAGAAAACGACGTAAAACTTTGGGCGTGTTCGTCCTTCTTGAGTGGCAGTTACACTCTACACGACCACACTCTACACGACCACACTCTACCCCGACTATTGTGTTAGACTGGTAGCGTGAACAGCCCACGTGCGAGACGCATTAACTAATCAGTTGGAGCCTTGGATCGTACAAGAGAGAAAAAGAGAGCATCACTGGTGTGTGGGCGACTTCAAACAGGAGTTATTTTTGGATCAATCACCTCGCTACACCATGGATAGAACCTTTCTAGCAACCTTGTTCGCAGGGCTTGAGAGTGAAAAATAAAGACCAGTGAAGACATTGAAGCAGCCTCGGATGATTACGCTCATCATCGCTGACAAGCCCCGCATACGAAACAAGGACTTGGATTTACGGATATGAACCTGAAAAGTCCGCGACTCCTCTGTCCAATCGCTGCAAAGTAAAAGGCTGACATAACCGTAGCACAGGATAAGCCATGGTGTAAAAAGTTTGCCATGTGACGGCGCACAAATTTTGTGCAGATTTTGCGGTTGGGCGTCGTTTACGACACCGATTTATCACCTACCGTAAAAAGAAAGTCAAGATTCGCTTGAAAGTTAAGTTCAACTATATAAGCCTAATTTTTGCGAACTATTGGGAGGAGAAGGACGTTGAGACCAAAGAGCGATTCTATGAGCGCTTCGATAAAGTATATGAGAGCTATCCCTGTCACCACGTTGTTGTTGTAGTGGTACTGTTAGTCCCTGCCTAAAGCGGCTAGTCCGTTAATGGTTGTCATTAAGCTTAAGTAATGGTAGGCCCTGGAAATGTGCCTTTTCGTCAGTGTCGGTACAAAAGGTGAGCGCTGTTAGCTGAGGGGCTTTAAGTGGACAGATTAAGATAGCTGTTGTCGCGGAGGAATTTTCACAAGCCGTTCACATGTTTGCTATGTCAGAGTTGAGTCTGAATAAATACGAGTTCAGTCGCCTGCGGTATCCAGACAGCTAAAGCTCCTCATCTTCTATGGGCATTTATTGGACGAGAGTCTCTGAGGGTGGTGACGGACTCTCTGTGAATGACAATTACGGCTTGTCAGGTTCTTTAGTGAGTCAAGTGTGTTTGGAGCGCGTCTATGAACTCGATATGATGCCTTCTGGCGGGCCATGGAGGAGGCTCTGCCTCAAGCTTGTTCTATTTGGATTTTCGCTTCAGCAGCTGCCAACTAGAAACTGTTTGCTGGGCCTTAAGTTGTGCTCTTTAACTGAGAACTTCTGGACCTCGCTGTGTAGGTGGTTTTCAGGCGACATCAGAAAGCATCCCGTAGTTCGGCGTTCTGGCTAGTCTTTAGCTAGTATCCAGTTACCTAAAAGGAGCAGCACAATTAGGAAAACCGCCTTATTGCCTTTGTCAGAAGTGCTTCCGGCGAGCGACTGGAAGTCTTTGTTGCACTCTGTACTATGTTGCCAATTTCCGTTGTGTGCGCGAAGAAACAGAGAGAGCTATCAAGGATAACCGCTAAAACTTTGGAGGCTTTTACCGTCGGAATTGGCGTGCCATCGACATTGATACCTAACTGTAGCTTAACCTCCTTTGTCTGTCATGCTTGGTGACTTTAACAACAGTCAACATGAGACCCGATGCTATAAAGAACGTATGATAGAAAGTTTCCTTCGAAATGGGCAGCCGAGAACTTCCGCAACCGGCGCTTACTCCTGCTTAACCAAGCAACTCCACATCGCCGCACATAAAATAGCAGTTATGCTGTGCTGCGGAAAATGGAACTAAAAGAAAAGGAAAATACAGGCACCATACAGGAAAATTCGATCAGAAAATATTGTAGCAAAAGGATTGTTTCAATACCAGCTAGTTTCTGTAGAAACGATTGTGGAAATCTGGTAAATGTCCACAGTTCATTTGAGGTATAGAGGGAACACTTCTTAAGGCTTTATAATGCAGACACCGGTGGAAAGGTCGGATGAAGAAGAATGTAAGCCAATGTGTACGTAACGTGCTCAGGTCATCATCAAAAGGAAAAAGTCCTCTGAGCCCATGGCATATTGGCTGAGCTGTTCAAAGCTAATGGCTTAGAGCTAGATGGGCGCATTTACCGGAACACTAGAAATTAAGTGTAATCTGCACAATCCACAAAAATGTTGACACTGCTGTTTGCGTCAACTATCGTGGGAAAAGCCTTCTCAGCATGGCTTATAAGATCCTATGGGCGATACTATTTGAAAGAGTGCAGCGCTTCATCGGCCAACTGTTTGTACCTAATCAGCGAGGCTTCAGAACTAGCAAATGCGCTATTACTACTGCTATGACGTTGAATACGACCTTTAGCTCAGTCCAGAGCAGATTCACTTCCATGCGACTTCTTTAATCTGATATTGGAAATCGTAATACGTGCTAGCTGTCTAAATTCCAGTGGCTTTATATACCAGTATAATAAACACACGATGCTGCTTCGGTAAGTAGAAAATATAGATTTCGTTGGCCTCAAAAACAGGGTCTTCAATGCGCCATTTTTCAGCCCTGGGTTGCAGCCACAAAGAGGTCGGTCCAGCTGTGTATGAAAAGGAAGTTTTCCCTGACAACAAACAAAGACCATTTGCATATTGGCACATGGTCGTCACTGTTGACAGCTACACTTTCAAGGTAGTGAAGAACTTTGTCTATCTGGGATCCATCGTGAGTACCACCAGTTATGGCAGCATAGATATCGAGAGGAATATCACTTTTCCACCACGTGCTACGGACAGAATTGAATTATTATCAAGTTCAAAAGAACCTACATTTCTACATTCGCTGTGAATAACTGGTGTAAATTCGCAGAGGAGACAGGGCAATGGCCAAGTTTTTTGCTATCGGCCTAAATCGACAAGCGGTCTTAGAACCAAATAAGAAGAGGAAATGGTAAAAGCTACTGGGCAGTTCCGCCATTGTTCTCTTTACGGTATGAAGGTCGACAATGTTTATCGTTGCTTTGTTGGTTGCTTTCAGTGCCTTCCAGTCGCTGCTCAGAATTCAATTAGCGCGTTTTTCGCCAAGTTTATGCACTTCTCGCGGGGGATATTTGTCTATATGCCCTATGTAGCTTGGTCTAACCTTTTTCATCGAAGTATGTTTATCGATTTCTAATGTCTGCGAAAAAATATTAAAGAACACATGCAAAATCTGGTATGAAGCTTTGTAAATACATACATTAATCGCTCAAATTATCCTAATTGTATTTGTAAAATGACATGCTAAATGCTTTCATTTTTTATGCTTAAGAACCGGTTAACGTATTTGTCTTTTCTCGTATATTTAGTTGAAGGTATTTAGAAACTGACGCCGTAAAGATCATATCACGTTTAGTTCAGTCGTTGCGTGGCAGTTGTAACTTTGTAGCAAAAGACAAAAAAAAAAAAAAAACAAACAGGGGTCACACCAAATGCGTTGTGCGAATCGTAAATTACAAGCAAAATGTGTTGCCACTACCCCGTCGTACGAAAGTGGGCACTGACCGGCTTACACCGCGATGCAACAGATTTCAACACAGGCTTGACCCTTCGGCAACGATAACTACATACATATACATATGCATACATATCTACATAAAGCAGCAGCCAAACCCAAATGCATACTTAGTTACATACATACATACAACTCGCATACATTAGTAAAGCTGCACGAAACCTAAGATGAAAAGTAAATAGCAAAACAAAGCTAAAGAAATGGCAGACATCGGTGGAAAATTTATAAGTCAGTAAGCGTATATGTATGTAGGTATGTTAGTAACTAAGTAAGCAAGTACCAGCCTAAAACAGCAAATATCCTCAGGCGATCTAAGTAAGGTAGTGTAATCCGCATAAAAATCGCAGTTCAATATGTTCGTTTGACAGTGGGAAAGATATTTCACTGCAGATACACAAATTAAATGCTTGTAACTCGTGCACGATCATCATTACGAATGCAAAAACTGAACGCAGCTTCATCTCGATTCATACTCGTTCGTACACACTCATACTTGATTCTATTTCGCTTCTGTTCCTGTGGATTTTATAGATATACTAGATAATGTTACAATTTGGCTGGCTGATATGTATTGAGCTTCTGGTTACTGAGGAGCAGCTTCGGTTGGCATAGCAATGAATCTACTTACATACATATATCGTATATACATATTTATGTATATCTACTAAGGTATGTATGTACAGCCAGTGGCGGATTTGAATATTTTTCACCCCGAGGCAATTCAGAATTTGCCGCCCTTTTTCCGATGAGGAAAATATTTTGAGGTAAAAGTACCAGTTTTGGAACGACTAGCAGTAAATAGTAATATTAAAGTTTATATTATTTATTATACTTTTAAGAAAAAAAGTGGTATTTGCCTTGAGTAAAGGTTTTCAAATTTTAAAGAAAGCCATCATCAACAAACTTTTTTCACTTGATAAGTTGTAATCCCCAAAATACTAAGTTAGTATTTTTAAATATTATCATTTCAATAATATCAAAAATACCTAACAGTGTTGTCCTATTTTTTGATTGTGTAATTGAATCTCAATTTTATGTTATGTTACTTTAAAAAACTTTTATACTTTTTAACTCAAATTTTGCCGCCCTTTAATTTTTCCGCCCTAGGCACCTGCCTATGTTGCCTTTACGGTAAATCCGCCACTGTGTACAGCGCACCCTCGATAAAAGCAACCGATCAAATTAGGGACTATTTCGTTGCAATTGCTGAACCACAAAAGTATTCAGCTTTAAGGGCTTTTTGTAGCTCTCAAGAAAAACGAAAAATTCATATAAAATGAGGCAATAGAAATTGAAAACAAATGAAAATATCACAATTTCTTAAATCATTTTGCAGCTCTCAAGAAAAAAAGGCTTGAATACTTATTTCTTCAAGAAGTTTTAAAGCTAAAGCAAAGTAATATCTCAAAATCGTAAAACCCAGATAAAATGTTAAATTACTACTCAGTACAATAAAACTAAAAGCAAAAAGGAAGGTAGTATCTTAAAGACATCATGCCTGTCATGAATATAAGCAAAAGGAAAACTACCAAAACATTTTTAGTCTAAAAATATTAAATTTAAGATACCTTAGCCTTTTAAATGAACGAGTTACGTAACAAAAACGTATTTCAGAACAATCAGTAAGTATATATTTTATAGAGAACCGATACTGGTGATTTTTTCAGTAAACCTTGTTTGATTGATATGTAGGAAGCTCACAACATTTCATGGTTTTAACTGTCTAAGTGAATGAAATTAAGAGCAAAATCTATTATTTGAACAATCAGTTGTATGTACTCGTATAAATTTTCTATGTACAGCGTGGCGACGAATAACTGTTACCCAGTTTTTTTTTGAGAAATAAAAGGGTCCTTTATAAATTTTGCGAAAAAATTATTTTATTGTTAATTTTCCACAGATTTTACTTTAGTTGTATTAGTTAGTTTTTAAATTTTAATCCTTATCTACATTTGCCAGCAGTGTAAACCTTGAGAGAAAAGTTCATTTGGCACGCAAGTCTTTTTCAGGTGTATTTTTTCTTAGGCTTTGTATAAAAAAAAGTACAAAAAAGAAAAAAACTGTATAAGGTTGGTCGAATGAATGACCGTCCTAGTCACCAGTCCCGAGTCTATTAGATTTTTGAGTATGAGGCCTTATTTTGGACAGAAGGGGGAGTATAAGGGACTCAAAATGGAGAAAATTAGCCTATGGTTACAGAAGATATGGAACAAATTAACTGACGAGGACCTGCGTGCCAAATGAACTTTTCTCTCAAAGTTTACACTGCTGGCAAATGTAAATAAGGATTAAAATTTAAAAACTAATTAATACAACTAAAGTAAAATCTGTGGAAAATTAACAATAACGTACTTTTTTCGCAAAATCTATAAAGGACTCTTCTATTTCTCAAAAAAACCTGGGTAACAGTTATTCGTCGCCACGCTGTATATTGGTCCCATCTTTTTGGCACCAACAATACACTAAACTGCGATTAATAAACTAAACTGAGTGAATAGTTTGCGTTCATACAAAAAGAATTTTAAATATAGAAAATGTTGAATATCTACGAGTACAGTTTTTTTTCAGCTTAACTACTTAGACTGAGCATTGCCCGG